CATCATCCAAAGACATACAGGTAGGTTAACTGGCCCTGATGTGTGCATGTCTGTGTCTGTGTGTGCTCTGCGATGGACATCGCATCTCATCTATGGTATACTCTACCTTGTGCTTGTTGCTTGCTGGGATAGACTCTGGCTCCCCCATGACCCTGCTGAATTGGAATCATCACGCAGATAACACTCCAGGTATGGGAACCCAGTGCCCCACCACTGTGAGGCAGCAATGCTAACCCCTCTGCCACCATGTCACCCATATCCATTCTTATGCATTAAGTGGAAATTTCTGATTCCAGACACAAAATATTAAAAACCACATCACTAACTCTAGTGTAATGATAAATAAAAGGAGATCAAAGTAATTAAATTAGTAAGCTGGCACATCATATGCAGACTTCCACTCTATCTGCTTTTGGCCTGCTCTGCTTTTGTGATATTGTTACATGAATGTAATTATATTTACAAATGTAGCAGTAATGCTTATTAATAAGCCACAGAATTAAGTGTTGCTGAAGATTCATGATTGAGGCCCTTCTCAGTGATCCCATCTACAGAGTAGCTAATGATGTTTGCATGCTGGAATATAGAGAGATGATTTCTGTTTGATAAGTAGCATCTTCCTGGACAGTGATACCAACCAGTATCAGCAATCCCCATCCCATCTGTATGTCTGGCATTTAGCCATAGTCATATCTGGATGATGGTCTTAAAGGTTGTGTCTTAAAGGAATAGACAGGTTGAGATCAATCATTCAAATAGCCGAGCAACCTACTTGTAGGGCATGGACACCCACTCTGGTGACATTGTAACCAATCAACAGCCTTATTTTCCCCACTTTTAAAAAGTGGTGTACGTCATTTCTAACCCTGCTTCTGTCCACGAAACCGACCTGGCTGGTTGACAACAGAACCACGTCATTGCCACAACTGATATCTGAATTTTAAAAACTGTTTCCCAAAATACAGATTTAGAAAGTGAGCCTGAGCTTAAAGATAGAATACTGCCAGAGATCTAGACCGTAGCTAGGACCTCACAATTAGCTTGCTGACACCGCGCATTCGCTTCATCACCGGAACACATATGAATATCTGATAATTCAGCAGAAGCCACTAGGCTAGGAGCTAACCAAGTTTCTTGTCACGATATTAGTTCCCCCTCCTTAAGGGTACTCCAGCCCTTTCACTAAAGACTTTATTCTATGCACCTGCTCCCTATTCCCAGCCCACCTTAAAAGCCAGGCGCTGACGCTCTTCCGGGCTCTGCAGCTGATTTCCATATCGTGCGAGTCCGGGACCTGGAAGCGCCTGGTCCCGTTAAGGTTTTAATCTCGGTTCCCGTTCCTGTTCCCTGTCCGCCGGTTCCGACCCGGCCTTCGTGTTTTTAATTCCTTGTTCTGATGGATCTCCTGGTTTTGGACTTTCTCGTGTGTTTTTGGATATTCCCTAAGGACTTCTCTTTTGGATTGTTCGCCTCGGCCACACCTCCCCTGTGCACCAGCGCACCTTGGACACGCCCCCCTGTCTTCAGCCCCGTTTTCCTGCATGACGTTTCCCCAGTGTTTCCCCACTCCGTCGGACTGTGTCGTCTGCATAGGGTCCGGAAAGAACTGTTCGTTACATTTCTCCCCTTTTTGTATGACTGTACCTGACAAAGCACTCACCCCCGCATAATGACTTTGTCTAAGTTCAGCTCAATGCTAACCTGGATGTCCCAGAGGAGAGAACTGACTATCAACATGAGATTACAGCAGGACTTCTCTCTCTAATTCCTCAAGATGCATGGATTAAACAACACTGCAACAGACCCAGTCGATTGCTCCTTTTTCCTTTTGCAGAAAAGTCCTGAAATCAAAGTTGGGGATTAGAATAGCCCAATATTCAACATTACATCTCAAGAATTCAACCGCTATCCTAATCCATAGATATCAATTTAATTAATCACAGTAATAGCATTTACTTATGAGTATCCTAATGTTGAGTATGTTAAATTAGAGTGATTAAGGAGTTAGTGTAACCAATAGTATACTAATCATTAACACTTATTTTTGTATCTTTTCTTGATATCTGCTATAACTTCATAACCCTCATGTGATGAGCTGGCGTTTGTATCCAGCCAGACGTTCATGTATTTACTTTGATTGCTTTTATGCATCAATAAATGCTTTCAACGTGTTACAAATCAATGTGCAACCTCCTTGTTATTCTGGCAATTGATAACAAATAGTCAAGCTAAGCTCACATTATTTACTGTTAAAACTAAAATTGTGCCAATAAGTTTACACAACCCCTGCACAAATATAACTGGTTCTAAATAAAAAATTCACATAGTTCCATGAATATTCTAACACCTCCTGTAATAACAGTTAAATGCGTAAAAATGAAATACAACCAGTTTTATAAGATAAGATCACTTTATTAGTCATATACAATTCCTGCATTAGGAATTTGTCTTTTTCGCATACCCCAACTTGCTCTACCTGAGACACACAGACAGAGAGATGCTTTGGGTCAGAGTGCAGGGTCAGCCCCTAGAGCAAATCGGGTTAAGGGCCTTGCTCAGGGGCCCAACAGACTAGGCCCAAAGGATTCCTCTGCCGGCTGCAGGATTTGAACCGGCAACCTTTTAGCCAGAAGTGCAGATCCTTAGCCACCGCTCTGCCCCCGGTAGTTTAAACTATCGGAAAAGCAAATATATAGCTGACAAACCCTTTGTTGTTTTAAGAGACATTACTGTTCGTAAATGTTCAAAATTCCTTTAAGGGCTCTATACTATCACTATTTTATAGGACTTAAAACAAAAAAAAAATGGTGGAAGGAAGACACTTTTTTTAACTTTTTGTTCACTTTCCATTGACCAGACATGACAAGCTTAATGACATTTATAATAATTTGGCCTTGAGACATACACCAAACTTGGGCTGGCTCTTTTAATTGCTGAAAAAACATACAACTGGAATGACGACAAGGACAACAAAGCACAGCTACACAGAAATAAATGCATCTTGCATATCATTTTCCATAGAATTTAAATTGTTACTACCAAAAAATACACATTTCAAATTCCTTTTCTTGGCCTTATTTGTTTGAGATACTAAAATGGTCAAAGTTAGAGAATACAGTTGTTTCTTAGGCAATGTACTGTATCTAATGTGGATGCCCTTGGAATAATTTCTATACTGTGCACAGAAGATGAGTGAACCACTATAATTAGATTTTACAAAGTAAATAAAATACAAAAACAAAGACTTTTTTTATTTTAGATATGGACAAAAAAAACATGCTTAATGATAGAATCAGCATGACTTCAGTGAGCTGCCTAAGTAGTATTTAAACATATTTAATTCTCCACCTTATCTTTGCATACAGTACTTTCATCCATCCATTTTTGTATTACTTCTTCCAGTTCAGGGGAGCTGCAACCTATCCCAGAAAGCAATGGGTGTAAGGTGAGATGCACTCTGGATGGGATGACAGTCTATTGCAGGGTACACACAAACACAAACACCCATACCAGGGCCAAGTTTCCCAAAGCCAATTAACCTATCAGTATGTTTTTGGACTGTGGGAAGAAACTGGAGTACCCAGAGGAAAACCATGCGTACAAACTCCACATGCATAGCAAGTCTGGAACTGAATCAGGGGACATACTGTAGTGCTGCAAGACAGCAATGCTAACCACTGTGCCAGGACTACTTTCAAAACATGTTAAACATGTTTCTACCATTTTGAAACCTGACCCCTCAAAGAAGACCAAAGTTAAGGTTAGAAAGATTAAGTAAACTGACATTTTACCTTTCTGAAATGTTAGAATTGAAACATGTACTGAAAGGTGTACACTATTTAGATCAGACTACGCTAAGGAACTGTCACCTACTGTATAAAAAAGGTTCCCACTAGAGGCAGTAGACGAGCGATAAGAGAGAATTAACGCGGAGATTGTTGCTCTCTCAGGCTTCCGAGATACCGGCTCCTTTTAGGACAGGATACCCAACTAATTACTGTGCCTGCATTTTCCAGTATTATATTACTGAATACCTTCTCTGTTTAAACAAGTGACGTCCAGTCTTTATTTGCAAATTATACTTAAAACAACACATACAGGAAGGATGTGCTTGGGGTATGCTACATGCAGAAACAGCACAATGGTTTAGTTTCGCTATGTAAACACTACTGTAATGTGCAAGAAAAAATGATAGCAGTTGCTAAAACTGGACTTTCAGCAATTACATTGATGTTAAAGTGAGCATGATGCAATCCATAACCGTTGTTTTTTTTAATAAAATAGATTTATAGACTATATCATATAATAGACTGTTACAGATTTGAAATTACTATTTTTTCTCATATTGAGTGTATCTTAATACAAATTAAACAATAGCCCAAAATAGTGGCATGAAACGGTTCTTTCTGTCTGCTCTGGAGCAGCTTACTGTATTCCCATGTCTCCTCAAGACAACTAGTCTCAACGCACTGAACTTAATAACTGACAGCTAACAATCCGCACTTGAGACACCAAAAGGCTGAGCTAGATAATGTGGCTGACGTTCTGCATTTTTTACAAACACCCACTCAAAACTACAAAACGTTGCATGCTCTGCTGAAAAAATAAACGTTCACCTCCATAGACAGTAGTAAGCGGTCAACCCCATAACACTAAAAACACTGCTTAAAAACATGCGGATATGCCATGACCCGAAGTGTGTACATCCATTTTTTAAATCACCCTAGTTTCCTTAACGCATGCATATTATATACAGTATATATGTATCCCTTTTTAATGTTGCGATTAGTGATCAGAAGTCGCAAATCCAAAGCAAGAATGGTTGTTTATTAATTGCTTTGATCCTGAAGAAAGGTAAGAACCAAGTGCTGTGAAGCCGTTCAATGGGAGTCAGCGCTGTGCGTGCACTGTTTCTGAGCAATTTCTGCAAGGCAGCCTACTCGGGGAAAATAAAAATAAATAACGCACAATACAATACATTCGGAAATAAACGGACTTACCTGCTGTGTTGGATAATGAGTCACATGTCTTTAGCCATATATATTTTTTTATTATTGAGGGTGCCGTTATATTGTTGCCAGCGCCATGTTATTGCTCTCCAGTGTGCTTTACAATCCCTTACTGAAGCGAAGACAGTGCGCTACATCCGGGCTGTTGTTGAGCGAAGCTTCAGGCTGTCAAGCGCTGGGGAAATTAGAGCACCTGAATCAAGCTGTGATGATAATATGCTAGAGAGACAGCACGAACTGAATTGAATTTCAGGACTGAATCTTTTAAGGATGATGATTACATACTCCCAACACAGTAGTGAAAAATAGAATACAGTTAATATTTGAAAACGGACATATTTTGTAATTAAAATATATTCATTTCAGAAATAAATGATTTGAACACCCATGTTAAGGAGCTAAGCCGTTCTAATTGACTTCCATCTTTCCATAGACAGGATACTGCATGTGGGTCATCTCGCCAGTAGCTGTCCGACTCTTGAATTGTTAACACAGAATGCTGACATACTGTGTAAGTGCATTAAGGTGGGGGTTTATGCTGGGTGATTTTTCATGTTTACTGACTAGTCTACACACCTCATTCTCTTTCTGGTTTAAAATGTTTTGATATCGTTTATATAGATAATTAATCAAGACCAAAAACTGTAATTACTGTATCACTGCAGAAAACAGAAGGTTAAAATTGTAGAAAAGTAATTTGTTATTAGTGCTGCAAAATGCAGTCGACTCCAAAATTATTGATTCCATTGCTAATGAAAGATGAGCAAAAAGCTGTATAAAATAAACACAACAAATGAGCTATATTGCAACAAGTTATAAGTGTAATTTTATTTGATTTATTGTTTTACAGGTGGATATCACATTGGGGGGGGGTCATACTGTATACATGCCACTCCTCCATATATAATCTTTTCAGATCCTTGATATTTTTGGTCTGTACTTATGAGGCCCTTGGATTCTGACCCATCCTCCTCACTGTACTGGTAGTGCAGGCAAGATACTCTTGCATCCTCTACAAGGCACATTTATTATTGTTCCAGTGGTGTTAAAATTCTTAATTATCGTCCTAATAGTGGTAAGTGGTATATTTATTTTGTTTATTTATTTTCTTGTGTCCTCCTTGGTGATGTATAACAAATGGATTTTACATGTGTGTTACCTCATTTTTATACCATACTATAGTTCCTTTAGACTAAAATAAACATAAAAAGTGGAATATTAATGCAGATTTTATTCTATTCTTTTATTATCAAGAATATTTAGGGGTCACAATTTTGATACCCATGCTTTTGAGAAATAAAATTACTACTTAACAAAACCCTTTTACTCTGAGCAATTACATTAGAATACAAGATTATATTTTTTTCCCATATTTTAAACTTAAAATATAGCTCATTACTTGTGTTATTATTGTATCTTTTTCCCTCATTTTTATCAAGAATGCAAATAATTGATCCACTATTGAAGGCCTCCCCAGCAGTCTTCCACACTTTCTGCTTATAACAAAACAGTTCTTACCAGACCCTATGGGGACAACACATTCCAGGGTTGAGTGAGAAACATAGGGGAAAATCGATGCAGGAAACGGGGATCAAAACAGGGGGCGTGTCCTTGGTGCGCTGGTGTTCGGGGAAGGTGTGGCCAAGGCAAACAATCCTGGAGAAAATCCAAGGGGGAATCCAAACGAAAGCAAAAGTCCAAAACTGGGTGGTCCATCCAAAACAAACTAGATAAAAACTGGAACCGGGTCGGAACCGGCAGGGGGCAACAGGAACAGAGAATAAAACCTTAATTTTTAATGACTCGCATGATATGGAGATCAGATGCAGAGCCCACATTAATGTCAGCACCTGGCTTTTAAGGAGGACTGGGAACAGGCTGAAACAGGGGACAGGTGCACAAAATCATGTCCGAAGTGAAAGGGCCGGAGCGCCCTTAAGGGGGAGGGACTACAGTCGTGACACTGCTTGGAGATATCCTAACCCAGTTTACACCTACAAACGTATTACTGTTGTCATCAAACAGGAGATGTTCATTATTGCCATAAGTCTCTTTGATTTTATTATGAAGTCACATGCTTTTGTCTGCATTCTGACTCTTCTGTTTCTTCTGCTTTATTGATATATTTACTAGGGAAGGTTTAAAATATGTGCCCAGTGTCCAACAATACATTTTTAATTTGCTTGTCATTGTGCACAATATTTAACTTATAAAGCAAGTATGGCAAACTTAAAAAATAGGTTTATTCCATGCTGAAAAGATAAGAAAGAAGACACAACGTTTTGGCCATGGAGCCTTCTTCAGGTGTGAGAAAGACAGGGCAGTAAGCAAAGGTAATGTAGCTGGAGAACAAAAGCTGGAGGAGAGGAGGAGCGAGGGGCGGGAGCAGGGGACAGAAAGAGAGGCCAATCAGGAGCTGTGAAGTCAGGATAGGTGAAGAGAGATGTGAAATGAAACTTACAATGAATAGGGAGAATCTAGAAGAATTCTAAAATGAAATGAAATGAAACCTACAATGAATAGAGAGAATTTAGAAGAAAATTCTCTCTATTCATTGTAGGTTTCATTTCACACCTCTCTTCACCTATCCTGACTTCACACCTTCTGATTGGCCTCTTTTTCTGTCCCTGGCTCCCACCCCTCGCTCCAGAAGTGAATAGGAACCTGTTCATCCATTGTTTCTAAAAATGAAATCACTAGCCAGCAGGGCCTTCTTCAGGCTGGGGCTTCCTTACATAGGAGTTTCCATTTACTGTAGGTAATATAGAAATTGCTCTAAGCTGCACAATTCTATATACAGTATGTACAGTACGCATGAAAGAAAAGAAAAGAAAAAAAACATTTGTCTATAAAAGTCTCTGCAGTCTCTGCAGTAGCTGGGCTGTATTACCAGTGGCCATATCACCCTGCAACTCACACCTGGCAGCCCACTGAAGCTCAGCAGGTATGAGCCTGGTCAGTACCTGGATGTGAGACCTCCTGGGGAAAATCTAAGGTTGCAGCTAAAAGAGGTGTTAGTGGGGTCAGCAGGGGGCGCTCACCCTGTGGTCTATGCAGGTCCTAATGCCCCAGTATAGTGATGAGGAAACTATATTGTAAACAGGCGCCGTCCTTCAGATGAGACGTAAAACCGAGGTTCTGTCTCTCTGTGGTCATTAAAAATCCCAGGGTGTTTCTCAAAAAGAGTAGGGGAGAAACCCTGGCGTCCTGACCAAATTTCCCATTGGCCCTTATCAATCATGGCCTCCTAATAATCCCCATCTATAAATTGGCTTCCTCACTCTGTTCTCCTTCCCGCTAATAGCTGATGTGAAGTGAGTGTTCTGGCACACTATGGCTGCCGTCGCATCATCCAGGTGGATGCTGCACATTGGTGGTGGTAGGGGAGGGGATCCCCATCGCCAGAAAAGTGCTATATCTCTGGTCCTGTTTCTTTGTTCTTTGACCCCAGGAAATCAAAGTCCCTGCACAGTACCTCCATTCTGCTGCCAATGTCACTTTTGCTCTGTGATTCCTTGAACAATAATTCCTCTCCCCTGTGGTCTCGCTGTGGTCACAGCTTCCCTTGCTTTGACTGTCTTGAGTCAAGCGGATTCTGGGAGGAAGAGAGAGTCCCCTCTTTTCAAGATCAGATCTTTGTATCCCTTTCATTAGCCAGTCCCCCTTGGAGTTTTCTACTATCTCTGTGAGGGGTAGGTGTGCCCAGTAGATTATCAGGAGGAAGTTTGGGTTGTTTGATAACTTTGAGTGTGCAGGACTTCAGGTGTCATGGGCCCTGTCACTTCTTTCTTTGTTTTCCTGCTCCACCCCTCTGCCCAAGGTCTGGTCTAAACTGGCTCAGTAACCGCTCATACCTCTGTGTACTAATACCAATTAGGTGTGGTAATTGTGTTACAATATGTCTGAATGGCCAGTTTGTTCTTCAGTTCAGTTAATTGTTTCCGGCTTTACAGTCTGCATTCAGAGACTTTGAAGATGAAGACCTTGGGGCAGGCACACATTGGCAAAATCCTGGCCACTAATACAAATTAATCACAGCCTGTTCCTCCTTCAGCTGTTGGAATTCTGTGACAAAACCTCTCTTAACAAAGTTCAAATATCTGGCTAGAATTTGGTCTTTAAGAGTGATTTGAAGAATGTTCCCTTCTCTGACATGTTTTCCCTCCTTTCTCTGTTTCCTTCTCCTTCTTCTTTCTTTGTGTGTTCCTTTTCTCTGTTTTTCCTACTTCTGCCTCTCTGTCTTTTATCCTTTCCCAATGTCCTAACGTTTAAGGGGTTTTCCATACAAAGAGAAACCCTTTTACTAGTGTGAACTATTTACTGACTCACTTATGATTTTCTCTTCATCTGTCACCATCGATCTTCTCCTGATCCTCAATCATGAATTTCCTCCAAACTCACATGCTCCTCAGAATTTAAACATGACTAAATCTTGCTACTCCCCCCATAGGGAAAAGTAGAGCAGCTTCTTCATTTCTAATGCACCACCACTGGCTGCAACTTTTTCTTGCTCTGGTTCAACTGTCCTAGGACACTTAGTTTCACTTGACTGTCAAACAACTGGAAGCATCTCCTATATATTGTTCTGTAAATATGATTCCTCACCACAAAGTTGACAAGCTCTTTTGTTTGGGCAAAATTAAAATTCATGCACAACCTCCATGCACTGTTTACAGATTTCTTTAGTGCATACTATCAATAAATGCCATATTTCCCCACATTTCTTACATAACTTTGGTTATCCCCGATGAAGAATAAGCCCTTTACCATATCCCAGTACATTCTAAAATGAATAAATATTTCACCCTAATCTTGAAGGTTCAGCATGCAATTTTACTAATACTTTCCATGATCCCTTCTAAATCCCATCTTTCTTAACCGCTCTTGAAGAGATATTTTGCACAGAGCAATACCTGTTCTGTAATACAGTTTACAAATTACAGTTCTAATGGCGTTGTAGAACCACAACAGAGAAAAAAATCCTTATGCACCCTTTTGCCTATTCTCCTGAAAAGCCTTTAAACATTTCTTTACCTTGATATTAGACTCATAATTAACATTCCACTACTTCGTGTTTGAGAACAAACCGCATCAATCTCTTTCTTTCTTGGAGAAATCTCACCTTCTGCGACACATTACCATCAATTACGAAGATCACACAATTGTTCCTTCAGCCTCCCATATAGACTGTCATCTTAGTTGGAACAGAAACAGAAAAAAAGGCACACCCAAAGAGCAGTACTAAAACATATGTTAACATCAACTAATGTCTTATACTGCACCAGAAAAAAATAAACTATATAAATAATATTTGGCTCTGAGCCTAGCTACATC